CACACACACTCACACACACACACACACACTCACTCTCTCTCTCTCTCTCTCTCACACACACACACACACACACACACTCACACACACACACACACACACGGCTTTGGGAACTTGTGAGGGATTATTAACATCAAAGTCAATAGAAATGTCAGCTTGGCTATCTTTGGAAATGCCAGAAGCCCTTTGCATATCCCCTCCACATCAACGCACACACACACACACACACCTGCCCCCAGCAGCGAGGCCTGATTATTGGCGCTCTAGTGAAACCGTCTTTTGATCTGCGCTCACACTGGAAAGCACTTAAAGGTGAGCGCTGCTCCAGCTGAAGGCGAGGACGTCACGCCGCCGGCTCTCACATACAGTATCTGTGGGCTTCACCCACAAGCCATAGCAATTACATTAACAGGATTATGCAAAACTGCTTTCCTGCATTGCTGGTTTGGTCTTTATATGGTGACATATTTACACTGGATCAGGTCTGCGGGGCTGCTGGTGTCTGTTCGCTTTGAGATGCTCGTGATAACCCAGTCTAGAGCTTCTCTAATAGTTCTGTGAAACACATTAAGAAAATAACCCTTTTTGGTTGTAATAAGAACCTTAAAGGAACAGTTTTGTCATTATTTGTATGCAATTCTTTTCAACACAACATCAATTCACACGACTGTCAGGAACTAAACAGGAGAAAAAACACCATAAAAGACTCTGTCAGGGGTCCTGTGAAAAGTTAGGAGAAAAACAGTGTTAAAAAAAGTGTTTAAAATAAATAATAAATGAATGAATGAATGAATGAATTAATAAATAATTTATAAATAAATTTTAATTAAATAATTTAAATAATTAATACATTTACCAGTACAGGACACAACTGTCAACCTCCAAAAAGGATAAAAACACCATAAAAGGTTTTTAAACTGGGGTTTGTGGAAATGTTTAGAGTAAAACAGTGTAAAAACTCTAAAAATAAATAAATACACTAACTAACTTACTAAAACATTATTAAAATAAATTAAAAAAATTCTGAATTATTAAAATAAATAATGACATTATTTTTATTTTATTAAATTATTTAAATAATTAATACATCTAAGAGTACAGGACACATACAACATAAAAAATAAAAAATAAAAAAATATAAAAAACATAAAAGACCACATCAGGGTTTTTTGGAGAAAAACAGTGTGTAAAAAAAAAAGTAAATAAATAATAAAAAGAGAACTAACTAACTAAACAAATGAAAGACGATTAAAATAAATAGAAATATAAAATAAAATAAATAAATATTTAAATAATTAATACATCTAACAGTACAGTATAGTAAATATAGAAATGTAATTATGTATCATACAAATAGGACATAATTACATAATGACATTAGTGTTAATATGAAGGAATTTTCAGTATTCATTTTTCACAGGCCTGTATTTTGAATTACACTTCGCATTGTGTTGTTTTTCAGGGTTAAAGGAAACGTCCGTAAACTTAACGGATATTGTACTTGCAGAAAATTACCAGCTACTTTTGCATGAGATTTTTTTTTCTCACAGTATAATAGAAACTGTTCCTCACACAAGGATCCCACATGAAAAAATACTATAGTAATTTATAGTAAATACTATAGTGTTTTTGAACCACTATAGTAAAGTGTATTATACTGTATATATTATAGTATTTACAACACTTTGTTAATGAATGCTACAGCATACTATAGTATTAACTACAGCGAACTGATAAACTGTGATAAATACTGTAGTATACGTTAGTTTTTACTAAACTAAATACTGTTTACTTAGTAAACTGTAGTGTATTGTAGTATAATATACCCTATAGTTGT